CAAAAAAATAGCAGTGGAAAACGAATATTCATTTTATGTCAATCATGATACAAATGAAATATGTATGTATCGTAAAATCCGGATGTAGATTAAACAAATTCGAAAAACTATAGCTGTAAAAATCGAAAGCCAACAGACAATATCATATTGTTCTGTAATAAATAATTAATAAGTGAAATCCTGCAGTTCCAATGTAGTTAAATCAATTTTTTAGTTTAATATAAAATTATTATTTTTGTTATTGTGTGATATCTTATTTTTTCGCACTATTATAATCAATTAATTATAATTTTATTAGAAATTTCATAATTTCTGGATTTTCTTAGAAATGTACAATACAATTTGTTTAATTAAAAAAAAGTTGTATAATTTAAATTGCTTTGGAATAAAAAATATGTTTATTAATATGCAATTAAGATTTTAGAATTTACATGCTTTAGAATTTACATTGCGGTAACTTCATTCATTATTCGCGAATTATTTTAAAATTCAAAGACGTTTACGTTATTGAAGTAAAAATCACTAAACGTGAACAAAGAAACGAGTAAATAAACGATTCGTATGAACTCGACTCGGCAAAAAAGAAAAACAGTGTATGAGAGCAAATGTAAAAAAAATACGTAACTGTTTGATTAACAAGACAATGGAGACATAATGGACCTTCGTGCGCATATATTTTATCGTATATTCAACGAAGAGCTTTAATTACGATGTTTAAAAACAGCGAGAGTGAATTAATTTAAAGCAAAAAAGATAAAGCGATCTAGAGAGATGGGCGGTGTTAAGAAGGAAAATCGATAATCGCCTAATTGATTAGGAGAAAATATTTAATTAAAGTAAAACAAGTCTTAATTTAATGTTTTGTAATTCTTCTATAAATCTGTTAAAAAATTATGGTTAATTTTTTACATATTTCTTTTGAAAAAAAAGTATCTAATCGAGATATACAAATTATTTTCGTCTTAAGACATTGAAGAGATAGTCGAGTGTTTGAATAAAAGAAAATCTCGAGTACCGATTAACATCGCTAGAACATCACCCATCTTTGATGAGTCGAGAGGCAGAGTGAGACTGTCACGGGGGATGAACATATGAGAGAAACACTGAAAGGGGGAAAGTTCGAGGTCGGCGGAAGCGTGAGAATTCCGCGCCGGAAAGGACAAAAGGAAGAAAGGAAGGGCGGAACGGTATTTTCCTTAGAGAACCGAGTTGGTTTGAGGCTGTCGATGGAAAGCGGAAAAAGCGAGCATATGTGTATGTGTGTACGTGTGTATGCGCGCGCACATATTGCGTGCCTGTATATGTGTGCCAGTTGTCGATATACGAGAAACGAAAAGAGTGTCTTTAGAGAAACGGTGAATCGTGAAATCTAGACGAACAGAACAAGAAGGTGGGTCGGTTGCGAGCGTTAATCGGAAGAATTAGAAAATACAGTAGAAAATACAGAATGTTCCGAAATCTCAGAACATTCTTCAAATTGTGTAAACTTTTAATTAAATTACATTTGACGTCGTTTAAAAATAATTCTGCCCTTTGTTTTTTTTTTGCAACTTGATAAAAATCCACTTACCTTTAATTGTGAATTATTTGAAAATTATTGGTTAAACTTGGCTATAAAATATAAAGTCCATTAAAATGAATATAAAATTTATACCTCAGCGAATATGAAAGCAAATATTTCCTTCAACTTTGCCAGTGTATTGTAAAGTTTTAGAATTCAGAATTTTAAAATGTTCATTGATACGAAAGGTTTTTTTCAACAATTTTTGAAATATTATATTATTATTAATTCTGTCAGATAGAATCTCTCTAAACGTTTTCGTTAGGTTATTAACAAATTGTGTCGGGAGTGAATTCTAAGTTTCCGAGTTCGTTAAGATTCCGACTCGGGAAATTTTAACGATTCGTAATGACAGTCGACTATTCATCGATTCAGGCAATCGCATTCGGTCAGAATATCAATGACCGACTTTGCAGCAAAATGCAAAGTACGCGTTCTACTACCTCTCTTTCCGTTTTACGAATCGGCAAAGAGATCCAACAGAGAGTGCGAGAGCGAGTTGTCTGCGGTTTCGTCTGTCTGTCTGTCTGTCTGTCTGTCTGTCTGTCTGTCTGTCTGTCTGTCTGTCTGTATGTGTCTGCGCATTGGTGTGTGACAAAGAAAGAGGTGGAGAATGTACGAGGGAAAGAATGAAACATGTATGAAGTAATTAGAGAGAGAGAGAGAGAGAGAGAGAGGGGGGGAAGAGAGGGGCGTGAATGCGAGGAAGACAAGTAAGAAAGAAGGGAGAAAAATAAAAGAGAGTAAAAGGAGGAAGGCTCCGGCGGGGGCCGCTCGTCCATGAACGGAGGACACTGATCACATCCCCCTCGGACTGATCGGCTCTCTTTCTCCCTTCCTGATTCGCAGGTACGTCTTCACGATAGTCAGCTACTTGATCGGCGTCTTCATATTCGCGACCATCGTCGGCCAGGTCGGCAATGTCATCACCAACAGGAACGCGAACCGTCTTGAGTTTGAAAGGCTCCTAGACGGCGCCAAGACCTACATGAGGCACCACAAAGTGCCGGGTGGTATGAAACGGCGGGTGCTCAGGTGGTACGACTACAGCTGGTCGCGCGGCAGGATACAGGGCGGGGGTGACATCAACACCGCCCTCGGTCTACTGCCGGACAAGCTCAAGACCGAGCTGGCGTTGCACGTGAATCTCTCGGTGCTGAAGAAGGTCACTATTTTCCAGGTGAGCTTCCCCGCTCACGCACGCGCGAGCTGTTTTCATCCCCGACGATGAAAATAAATTCAAACGAAATAGGCAGCGACGTATAGGAAAGCGGAGATTTCTGTGTTTGTTAATTTGACAACAAAAATTGCTTGGATTGCTTCTCAAAAAAAAAAAAAAAAAAAATTAAACGAATCTCTTTCGTCATCACTTTATGTCATTTGTTGAGACAAATATTTCGATGAGCATTATATCACGGAATAGACATGTCAAAATACTTACGCTTGTATCTGAATGTCTTAGGACATTTATCTTTAAAGATGAAGATCATATAGCAATCGTGAAAAGTTAAAAGTGTTTTAGCGAATTGTGTATTAAAGTTGTATCAAAAGCGCGTAACTGGATTATTGATGTTTGTAGCGAAAGCGATAACGAGAAAATGAAGTTCTTTAAAACGCAAAGCAATACTCCGCGTAGTAAAAGCAAAAGATTATTCATGCGAAGATTATTTTCAAGGTATTCTTTCATACTTTTAATTTAAAATGAGTGCTTTTTCTTCTCTACCTTTGTTATTTAGTTACGATCTTGTTTTACCTAATGATTGAATTTTTATCAACGCTTTTGTTTTCTTCTGTGAAAAATTTACATCGACCGGAGATTTTTCTTATTGTGAAGAGAAAAGAGAACGAAGCTAAAGAAAGGAAGAGAAAGAAGTGAGAGGAAAGTGCGCACTAAGATCGCAAAAAATGAGAATAAAATTGGCTCAATCACAGCAAAGAAGCACGATCGGCGCGGACGAAAAATATTTTCTCGATCATGTTCAAAGTTTTATCGTCAGTGGTAAACGGGAAAATGAATAGGGGGAAGGGGGGGGTGGGAAAAAGGTACAAACGATTTACGAAAGGAGCGTGCTCCGGTATTTTATTTGAAAAAGATCGGTTCTTGCGCGTCTATGATCGTGAAAGGACACGCGAACCTTTGCAATTTTGCTGTTCCAAAATGTGAATTACATGCACCGTTAGCTTCTATTTTTTGGTAAACGACTGAATGAATCTGCAGTATTTTTATATTTAGAAAATTGAAAAGACCAAATTAAAAAAATTATTGAAGATATATAATTTTAATTATTTATATTACGTGAAAAAGAAACCTTATCTAAATTATAGAATAAATTTATTTGATGGAGCTTTTATAAATATAATAATTTATAAATGTTGCAATAACACAGAAAAATTTGAAATTAAAATTAAGGATAAAAATCGAATCAGCTTGTAAAAATAATGCATGTGTTTTTGTCATATATTTAAATGAGACATTAGATATTTTTATTTTATATTTTTATTTTAAAACAGATAGCTTTTTTGTAACATATACACATATCAGCATATTCCAATCTCCAATACACAGCTGCATCTCGTTAGTAACTTTAATTACTTTGTCAGCTTAAAAGTAAATTCGCAGGACGTGATTAGTTAAAAGTAATGACATTTGTAATAATGCATTTTACATTTTCCTTGTTGTTTTCATTATCAACATTGCACAAACAACTTAATTCAGTAGATATGCCGTAATAAGTGCTTGTGTAATTTGTAATAAAGCGACATAAATAGCAATTATGAAAATATTCTTGCTATTTGGAGACGCTCTCTCTTTTAGAGGAAAAGTATGAATTTTAAAATTAACAGTAAAAATATCTTTTATTTTCTTCAGGCATGTAGTAAATATTCTAATATATTAACTCGTAGCGTTTCTCGTAGCATTTATCTCGACGCTGCAAAATCGAAATAGTTTCTTTTTCATGTTATTATATCATGCGGTCCAGTGTGTTAATAAGTAAGTGTAATTTGCGGTGATAAAATACCGCACGTTTTTCATGGGAAATATACTGAGGATCCTGAGGAAGATTTCAGCGGACTCGGGATATATATGAATCTCTGTTAAAGGAACGTCAAAGCCGGGCAAATATTTAAGCGAAAACATTGGTTTACGTACCCTACGTCCAGAGGAAAACTTTTAAGAGAGAAAGAGCGAGAGATTTTAAAGACATAACGATCACGTTTATGACACAACTCAATTAGAGATTTTCCTGTTTCTCCGTTTTATGCGTATTATTTTTCGTTTCCTGCCCTCGACAATCTCGTAAATAATGTGATGAAGGGATACCAAAATAATGTTTTTTTAACATAGCGATAGATTAATATAGCTACTAAGCCTATCGACAAGTATCGAGGGTAATCATGAGAGGGTCAAGTCGATCCATCGTGGCGCAGTGTCACTTAGGGATTAAGGACAGGAGTGTTTCCTCGGATGACCAATTTGTACGTTGCTGTACCCGCTGATCGGGAAACTTGTGGGTGATTCAGGAACTTTAATGTAAAGGAGATTTACTCGCGTAACTACTTAAGTTCCGTTATCAGAACGAGTGGCGGCTTCTGTTGGTAATCGATGAGCGTCGGCGTACCTCTTGTAAACGTAAACTTTTCCTCTACCACGGCCGGGGAGGAGCTTATCGTCTGACAAAAACGAAGAAAGGAAAAAAAAAAAAGAAGAATACAGGTGCGGAGAAGTGCGCGCAAGAAGTATTTGGAAAGTTCTATGGCGAGAGAATCATTGCGGAGAAGATATGACACGGAAGCTCTGCTTCCGCGGTAAATTTTTCTCGATCGCCTTGGATTTTCACCGCCGCGCAAAATATCTCTCGCGTCTTCTCGTACGTTGAAAATAAGGAGTTGTTAAATATTAAATTTTTAGTTTCGAGCTTACCGTCTTAAATAAAAATTTATTTGCAAAAAATCACTTTAACATGTCGTAAGAGAATTGCGAGAATCAAGAATATAGCTTTTATGAAGCCTACATGATGACATGGGAAGAGGAAGATAAAAAAAGAATAGTGCGATACATAGGAGGTAGACTTAAAAAGTTAAGTCCCCGGAAGGTAAAATGGAATGTACGTGATAAACTGATATAAAGCGAAGTGCTGTTGCAAGCTTGCTTCTCGAGAGCTCTCGAGGCGAGGAAGAAATTGAGAAAAATTGCAGTAAATCGTAATCGTAGAAACGTGTACCTTTTTATCCGAAAAATTCAATTGCATTCCGCGAGTTGAAGATTCTGCGTAATATGTTC